TTATTCTCCTCCCAGATTGACCGCCGCCGCTCAATCTCCGCACTGATGATCTTGCGGCCATCGATGGCGTCTTTCCGCAGCGCACGCCACCCGGGAACGAAACGGTAGACGAAGGGGCGGAGGGCGTGCGGAATTTGGCGGAGAAGCCGGGAGGTGATCATCATGTTGATGGTGTAGGAAACGGCGATTTCGAGCCAGCGCTGGTTGGCCGCGAGGATGGGGCCGAGGAAGACGCGCGTGGAGAGGCGCGCGACGAGGGGCGCGGAGAGTTTGTTGAAGGCGCATTCTTGCCAGTCTGGTGGGAGGGAAGGTTAGTGGTGGCTCGGAAAAGGGATGATGGGGAGGAGAGTGGTACCTGGGTTCTCGCCGAAGACATCGTGGAGCGCTTTTTCGGTCTCGTCGCAGAGGTCGCCGGTGACATGGCCTAGGAAGGGATATCAGCGACGATACATCTCCAGTCCTGAGTGGATCTTACCGAGAGACTGAGTCAATTTCGTCCGAATTGTGGTCACCATGATGTTGGCATGGACAATCGACGCTTTGGGGCCCTCGAAACCGGGGTAACTGGGAAAGAAGTCCTAGAATGGAAGTGTTAGAACAAGAGTGAGCTCTGGGGTGGCGGAGTGTAAGTGCCTTCTCGATGAATTCATCAAAACTGAACCGCTTGTCGCCTCCAACCATCTTTGCGTAGCGTCCGGGAAACATCAAGTCGGGGCCGTTAACACCGATGACTTGAAACGGTTTTCCTTGGAACTAGAGGCGTGTTAGTTTCGGAATATTCTGTGATCGAGTGGCCTCGAGCCCGAGGTTGTATACCTTCTTCACACCTTCCCATATCATATCATGTCCATGTTTCAGAAACTTGTACTTCGCCTTGATATACGTGATATTGAATTTCGTCGCGCCGACGAGATCGAAACCCGGGTGAATAGGATCGCTCGTGAAGAAGACGAAGGCGAGAAGGAAGAGAGCTAGGACGCTCCCGCCAATCTTGATGTAGTTGTGGTCGATGTCGTCCATGTTGAATCGGTTCAGGTCGGGGATGTAGTCGGCGAGGGGAGACGCCATGTTGACGGTGAGGAGTCAGAGACGCGGAGCTTCCTACAGAATGAGGCTGAGGTGAGAAAGGAGGACAGCTTGGGATCAACTCGAACCAACCCCGCTGCTTCAACGAGCTTTATATATTCCGGTACTCCAATCTCGAGCTCCACTACAGCTTCCGATATCGTTGATCCTGTTGCGGGGGCGGTAAATGTACAAGTGTAAAACAAGACGCAGACCCTGGAGATCGAGTTGTACGAGTGTATGCAGAGTAAAGTTTCTGCACAACACGGCGGATGGGTGATAGTTAATCCCATACCTCTCCGCCGAGCTCTGGAACAGGGGCCGAAAGAGACACCCACTCCGAAACTACGCGCGCTTGTTGTGCGTATCACTGCCGAAACCAACCCCAACGGACGCAGATCGTGAGAATTGCGGTTTAGTGCTGTGTCAACACTTGCTGTCCATGGTCCCCTTTCTGTCCATGATGCAGATGTGCAGTGGGATGCTAAACTTTGACGTCGCTCACCGGGCGCGGCTTGAGATCTCGGAGAATTATGATTGTTTGAGGTGCGCGTGTGTCGATTTGAACGTCCATGTAACGGAACGATACGAGATATGGGAGGTGGAGGCGGATGGGATGTCCACCCCCACGTTGACGTCGCTTCCCGTGGTCGATGGAAGGAAGCACGGATATCGAAGAACTACGGTACGCTAGAAAAACATCTCGCACTCTGCTCCCAAAAGTATGTTGTGCGTGTCAATTCCCTCCCGCGCGCCGTTGTATTGCATCTTGAAGATCACCTCCACGAGTTGCGTTGAGCTCGGAAGTGCGAACTCCCGGAAGATCACTACCGCTCTAAGATCGTGAGGAAAACGGGCTCGTACATATGTACGTATATTATCTGGTGGTACAAATTAGCCAACGGTTGTGGTCGTTAGATAAATGCCAGTGAATTAACTCCCGAATCGGAAATGCGTTTTCAGCCTGAAGTTTGGCGTTCATGCTTCTGACCCACAGAAGCCTCACCCGCGCTTACAGGACGAAGCGAGCACAGTCGAGGAAGTGAATGAGGTCAATCTATCATATGGTCTTGCAGAATTGTGAAACAAACCCGTTTCGCGGGGGTATTCAGCCCCGAGCCTGAGGATCATATGATGGAAGTTTTGAGTTGTGAGATGGCCGGGATTCAGATATTGCATCCGATAACAAAGTCAATGTCTCCATCATACCACCCCCGGCAAACCTGTGGCGGTGTCGCCTGGATGGGATTACAGGCGCGCGGGTTTGATGTTAAAAAAACGGCATGATGGGGTTCAGATTACGAGTTCATTGATGTGTGGAATATTCACATCACGGAATCCCACTGTGCCAAACTTGAACTTCGACAGTTTTCGATAACTAGCTCAAACTCAATGAGAAGACCCCACTCAGTCAGCCCACTCAGCCATCTCTTCTATACTGAAAGACGATCTCACGGCCAGAGTATCATCAGCACTCTGTACTCTTACAACATCTCCGAGTCCGCGACTTCATCCTCCTCCACTGGCCCACCCGTGTCACTTCCTCCTCCACACCCATCATGACCCACTGGAATTCCCCTCCCTCCCACTGCTCCCGTCACCTTCACGGATCTCGGAATCTCGACTCCCGCCGCATCACAATATCATACTATAGTAGTATCCGAATCACACTACATCCCCCTCAGTTGTCCCCCTCCAAGACTCCGGAGTCCGGGAAGTCCTCCATCCGAACTGTGATGCACGCTCTCGTCTCAACTGGACTGTAAAGTGTGATACAATGTATTATACGAGGTCTCGACTGAATTTCTGCAAGCATCCGCGAGAAGTGTGGTGTACAAAAAGGAGTGAGTCGTCATGATGGACCTGCGAGCCAGGGGTTTACAGCTTGCAGAAGGAGAAGGGGATGGGGAGTGTGATTATGTTCATCATGGATGGTAGTAGAAGGTATAGATTTATGATAACGGTGGTATGCCAGTGTATTAGGCTTGGATGTGGCGGCGAAACAGTTGAATGGTGAAAACCGTGGACACGATGGTAGGGGTCTTGAAGGGGGTTAGGAGCCTAGGTGGAGGATCAGGATGAGGTTTGCGAGGGAGAAACGTGGCTCCAAATGGTGGGGAGCGGGGTGGTGGAGTCTCGTGAATGCCATGGACTGGAAAGCGGAAAGGAAACACAGATTCGGAGAAACACGCAAAATTACTTCTCGTTTCCACCGTTCTTGCTACTCCAAATTCGTTATCCCCTAGGAAAACAATCCAACCTCATACCGAGAACCCCCTGGCACCAAAATTTTCGACGAAACATCACAAACGTCAAAAATCTACAGTACCTGGGATTCCCGCATGGTCACCCACTGCAGTACTAACCAGGCGATACGATGCTTAGATATGGCTGAGCGGACGGGAAGCCTCGTTTTCATCGTTCTATGACCGTAGATGAAGGGTTTTTGGTTCGGCATTTATATATCAAATTGGTATTGTTCGTCTCCCGGTCAATAATGAAAAGGAAGAGGAGAGAACGTGCTTAGCAGCTTGATAGCACCACTCAAAAGGCGGCCATCGCTAGTGCGAAGGGTCGGCGAGAAGTAGGGTTGACCGTGGACGAACCTCGATGTATACAGAAAGCCTGCAAGAAGCAGAACAAAAAGGGGAGGGGGAGGGTGGAGGTTATACAGTAGTTGACGCGCCATATCCCAAAGGGACGCATGCGCTTAAATGATATCAATCAATCAATCGTCTCCCGGCCTGGCTTGAATACAGGGCCCTCACGCACTCGCGATTATACTCGCGCCCGGATGGGAAACTTGACGATTATCAGCTCAACCTCGACCAGAAGTCCTCATCCGTCTGATGAGATCACTTGCGAGGATACTACCGTCAACACCGCCGGATAATGATCAACCCGGACCTTGTAACCACACCACAGTTATTACAGATCGATATTTCCGGCTGCCAGTCGTCTCACATAGTCTCACATAAACATCTGCACCCTGCACCCTGCTTGCTTATGTTTACGCAAGCACTCATATTTCAGGGTGAATATCTCCCACAAAACCACCTTCACTGGACATCGTCGAGTCGTGATATCATCACCGTGCCCCACATTACATCCAACTCCGTATCACACCTTCACAACCCAGCCCTTAACGTTCTCTCCGTTACAACCGGTCGAAGTACCCAGAAAGTTCCGACTCCCCCGATCCCCGCACTTCAACTCCACTACAAGTCCTCCGAACCTTCCCTCTCGGCGAGTCGACCCCACAGACCATCCAATGTACAACTCCGGACATCACCCCTCCAGAGCCCCGCGAACCTTACTTCTCCACACTGATACTCTTCGCTTAAGAACTCGAAACAGACAATCGACTCCCGCATCCCAGTACCATGCGTGTACCCGCCTGCGTATGGATCTGTGTAGTCAAGTCGCTACAAGTTGACTCCCGGACCTATTACCCCTCACCCCAATTCCCATTCCTGTTATCTACCACTACCATCCACACCTATGACCCCACGAATCCCCCTCCTTTCCCTCTTCCCCAATCCCTCAACCCTCTCCACAGTCCGAGTACTCCACCTCCAACCGTCCAATGTTCAACAGTTCAGCCGTATCGACGACCCTCTTCTCCCCCTCTCTCTTCCATTCTTTCTTCGCATCCGTCCGTCCGTCCGTCCGTCCGTGAACTTGAACGCTAAGTGTCCAAGCCTGTCTCTGTCTCCACGCTCAGACTGTGAACCTGCGCAGCTGTGCTCGGAGGTGCCGAGAGGTGGAAGAGCTGCCGACGCTGTCGGTGATGGTGAAGACGAAGACACAACGAACTTGGACCGGGTGGTTAGAAAACCGCTAAACCCCACAATACGCGACAACGGTAAAATTCCATGGCGACAAAAAACCAGAAGCAAGGTTCTCTAGAAGAGAGAAAAAAAAAAACAAAGGAATGATTCAGCCGGGATTTGAACCCGGGTCGGGCGCAGAATGCTGTGTGATGGCAAGCGCCCATGATACCCCTACACTACTGAATCGTTGGTGGCTGAGCACGTTTTTTCTTTATCAACCGTTGCATGGTAGTTCCAAGTTAGAGTTAAACGAACATTTTCACATTCACCGACCAACCATGGCACCGACCAGAAAAACGCCCGCCCGAGCGACCACAACCCCCCCCCGCCGCCTCGCGAGCCTGTTCGATCACTCCTTCGGACCTACCGGCCTACCATCCATCGCTGTCGCCCGGAAGAGAGCTGCCGAAGAATCGAGACTCAGGTCCAGCGAAAGCGCTGTGGAAATCGCGTCCCCCGCCCAACAGAACGCGTCGACGACCACCCCGACCGACACCACTCAACCCCCGACCAACAACCAAGTACCGACGGAGCAGAATCAACAGGATGTGAGGAAGAACGAAAGGGCT